CAGTTCTTTATCCATCGAGTAGTCCTTCCGTCAAAAGGATGACATGTGGCACAGTATCGAAGTCATGTGAAGTTATGTGACACATTTTAAATATGGCTATGCTTTCACACCTGGTGTATCGCCTTGGCCATTGTCCAAATAACCTCGCCTGCAAGTTTCCTATCTATAAACACAGTAAGGTAGCTGGATGCCACTGCAGCTGCGAGCCCAAGCCTGTGAAAAACACCAGTGATTTATATCAGATGAATGTGTGTGAGTGCAGCTTTACTTCCTGAACTTACCTCTTTCACCTCTAAATCCGTTCTCACCAGGAAACCCCGGTTCCCCCTTTTGTCCTTTCTCAAGACGGATGTTAATGCAGCCACTCTCTCCCGGAGGCCCTCTTTCACCTTTGAACCAAATATATGGAATGTAAGTAAACCCTCATGAGTGATATGGCCTGAAAATTAATTTTAGTGAAGATTTCCACAGCAGAGACAGCCTTCAAGTACTAATGCAGTTCTCAGTTGTTTCAGCAGGCTCACTGCTAACAGCATTTGTTATCCTTCTCTTGCTTTTTAGTTAATTCAGTATTGACCCAGGTGATGTTAAATCAGCATTATTTGCTGCCTGTTTGGGATATGAAAGGTGGAATTTGTTTTGCCAACTCGACAGGGCACTGTGGGTGCACCTTGGAGATGGTTACTCCCTTTCCTATATTAATATTTAGAGAGATTATTTTCTGTAGATTGAAGAACACAGAACATATGATAGAATCCTTGAAAAATCTAAAGCTTATGATGGATACAGGACAAAGTTCAAGGTGGTTTTCAGTAAATGATCTTGTTCTGATTTAGGAGTAAATGCACCTATTGATCTGAGTGGAATTAATTTTTCTTTAGTTATTTTTTGTTAGGCATTCATAAGTGAGGTGACTGGATGTGGTATTTGGTATCTCTGAAAATAGAAGTGAATGTACCCTTATAACAAGGAGAAAATCCATTCCTAACACAGCAGTAACAAAACTAAACATAGCAGTTACGTAACTATAGAGTGAAGTGGATTTTTACACACCTTTTATTCCCATATCTCCACATTCTCCACTAGGCCCAGATAGACCCATTTTCCCTTCTTCACCTTTTACACCGGAGATTCCCATTGGGCCTTGTGTTCCTGGGAGTCCTGGGAATCCTTGGGGTCCTTGAATCCCCTTGCTTCCTGGTAATATTAAATGCTTTATTTACATATTCAGTCTGCTATGCTGTTGCTGTCATATTCTAAGGAAGAGTATAAAGCAAAAGGCAGGAAGTTTAGAAGGACTCCTTAGGAAATCAGCACAGCTAGAGAACCAATAGTTGGAGCATGGCTTCATGCCAAGAACACACTTGTCTTGAAATCCAGATTACCTTGAAGCAAGCAAATGTCTCCCCCCACCGCCCTGGCCCTGCTCCACCCCCTGGAGATTAAGGCTGCACTTACTACGAAAGCAGCTATCCCCAACATATCTAAAATAGAACGCACAGGCTAGGACACCACCAGATTTTGCATGTGGCTGCTGGAAATCATGACTCCTTCTGTCCAGATGACAGACAGAGGAAAACAGGATCTTGCTAGAGTTACTCAGAACTTGTGCCCATTAGGCAGTGATGATTTGGGAGCAAGGTCACATTTTTTATATGCATCAGACATAACGTGAAGCTATTTCTTCACTTGCTCATCAGCATACAAGCACCAATGAAGAAGATAGTCTGGACGTAATGAAAAGTATATTGTTCTTATTATAGCATATTTTAACAAGAACCTATTACAAATAGTCAGGAAATAATACATGAAGTATGTCAATGCTGTAAAATTACTAAAGCAGGACAATGCACCAAACTACTTCCAGTCCTTTTATTTTTATTATAAGAGAAAGAACAAAGGATGTGATTGTTTTGCCTTTACCCTGCTGCAGGATCTTATTCTGGAAGCTGGAAAGGGAGGAGGGTGCAAAGTACCTCCTAGCTTTCACAGCAGTGAAAATAGCTCCCCCTGCAAGAGAAGTTATAGATGGGGTGCTTTACAGGATGTTTAGCGTACCTGTTTGTCCGGGGAAACCAGGTGGTCCTTTATTGCCTGGAAGGCCTGGAAGTCCTCGGGAGCCTGGAGGACCTGGGGGACCTCGTGAGCCAGGAGAGCCTTTGAGACCTCTGATTCCAGGAGGCCCATCTGGGCCCCTGTCTCCCCTCTGACCTTTGAAGCCTGGTAAGCCTGAGAACAAGAGCTTTAATTTATGTATGCAAATGCAGGACAAGGGTGCAGCAATTGTACCTCGGAAGTACTGAGGCCTGAGCAATAGGCCTGGAACCAGTTGACTTCTGAGTGAATTCACCCGATCCATGTTATACCAAGTCTCATGGGAAAACTGAAGATTGTGGCAGTTAGCATTCTTTCTCCTAAGAACGGATCCATAAAGAGCTGAAGAACTGTAGCAGTTAGTATTCTTCCCATCGACTGGGCCCTGGACCCTGGGCAGGCCCAGGCGCCTCCGACAGAAATAGATACACGAACCATCAGCGAACCAGATATTTCCATGCTCATAGTCACGTAGATTGTTTATTAAACTGTACAAAGGCAGGACGCTCTCTCAGTGAAGTTGAAGCCTCACCTACGAGTGGACGCACTCCGTAGGACTTCCCAATTGCCAGGCCAGTTTTCTGCCCCTTCGCTGTGACAGAGCTCCCCAGCTGATGCATGGATCCAGATGATGGTAAAGTATTCAGGCAATTGATGATGTATCTTTCTTAATCACTATTGCTAAGTCTGTGTCGTAACGATTAGCTGCACTACCTTGCTTACTCTTGCTGCTGCTTTAAACTAAAGTAAAATAAGCTTATTTCTTTTTAACTTGGTGTCTGTGTTCTTTCTGTTGACCCCATCAACTGGCAAAACAATCTCAAAAGTAGCAAGTGATCGTTTTTGGTATAAATTTGAATATCATAAAACATGGCAAAATAGCTTGGAAACTTTGCTACCATGCTGGAGTCCTGGCTCTGCCTGGATTTTTCCCCTGGAATGTTTGTTTTCTTGTATTTCTTTAATGAGAGACATATCAGTAGAAGAACCCTGTGAAAAATCCCTACTAATTTGTAAATACTTTTGATATAGAATCATAGAACAGTTTGGGTTGGAAGGGACGTTAAAGCCCCCCCAGTTCCAACCCCCCTGCCATGGGCAGGGACACCTTCCACTAGACCAGGTTGCTCCAAGCCTCATCCAGCCTGGCCTTGGACACTTCCAGGGATGGGGCATCCACAGCTTCTCTGGGCAACCTGTTCCAGTGCCTCACCACCCTCTCCGGGAAGAATTTCTTCCTGATATCTGAATCTACCTGCTTTCAATTTAAACCCGTTCCCCCTTGTCCTGTCACTACAGGCCCTTGTAAAAAGTCCCCCCCAGCTTCCTTGTAGCCCCTTCAGGCACTGGAAGGTGCTATAAGGTCTCCCCGGAGCCTTCTCTTCTCCAGGCTGAACAAGCCCAACTCTCTCAGCCTGTCCCCATGGCAGAGGGGCTCCAGCCCTCTGATCCATATATGTCATATATGTGTCTCATAGCTGTCCCTAAATAACACCTGCATTTAAGAATAAGGGAGATGAAGGTATCACAGTAATGACAGGAGCTCAGCTAAGTTACTCTGGACAGCAGAGTAAGAGATAACTCTTATGTTTTATTACTTGACAGCGAACACACTGTGATTTGGCCAGCTAAATCGGAGATGCACACTATACATTCCTTGAGCTTAAGGCCATGTGCAAAACATAATGTACACCCCCATTCACGAGCAGCCCCTGTGGAAGTATTTGTCATGCCAGCCACACAAATCACGTGATTAAATCTGCCGGGAGAGACGCACGAAGCTCAGCCCGGTGGACGTTGCGTACCTTGAGGTCCCGGCAGGCCCGTGACACCACTCAGTCCCGGTGGCCCTGGTAAGCCCGTGTTGCATGGTGGACCAGGGAAGCCTGGACAGCCTGGTGCTCCTATATCACCTTCTGGGCCTCTAAAACCTTTGGCACCTGGAAATCCTGGGGTACCAGGCTGTCCTGGAAACAAAAAACATGGTAAGGCGTTTTACTTCCATTACTCACCATCCCTCAGAAGTCCTAGTTTTAATTTTGAGATCACACGCCCAGTTACTGTAGTATCTTACTTAGCCTCTAGTTTTTGCACGGTTTGTGGGAAGTGATGCATTTCTGCAATTTAGAATTGGCTGTTGTGGAGAGCTTTTTTCTTTAAGGAATAAACACAGATTGAACTCTCGCCTGTAGGCGAGGGGGACTTTACGGCCCAAACGCGTTACGGATGTGTAGCAGCGGGACGGGAGGTGCTCGCTGGCACGCACCAGCTACAGCACGGGGGTCAGCTCTGTCGGTGCTCCCCGCACACAAGTGGGGGCGGGGAAAAAGGGAGCCCTATGAAAGCAAAGAGCAATGCCCGCTTGGGAAGTGGAGACGGCACCGCAGAGACACCTGCAGCAACCAGCAAAGCTCCCCTGAGGAGTGAGGAGTGCAGTGCCCAAGATACCGAGGATTATGTTGCGTAACTCTGGGTAAAGAAATTCACCCCTCTCTCCCTGAGTGTTCTCCCACCTTTTGCCGGTCTTTTCAGATTTTAGTAAGCAATCTGAGACAGGCACTACCTCGGTGGCAGAGCAGGAGACCCTACGCACAGACGGCTACTAGGCAGCAAGAAACAGTAGTAAGAGCAGGAGGCTGCAGTGTTCCTCCATGGACTGGGTAAAGGCACCTTCCCGCTCCTGCAGTGCAGATCTCCTCAGTGGATAACCAACCTTAACTGTAAAACTAGGGCGTACCGTTCTCACCACCATGGCTCCAGATGAGGGTAAGTTTTATCTGAACCGGGACCGACTTTGCGTAGATTTTCTCTTTGGAACACATGGAAATGCTTCATAAAAACTGGTTCATACCTCGAAGCCCAGGAAAAAAAAACTCCCTGTGCTCCAGGTGCTCCTGGCAGTCCCCTGTTGCCTGGGATTCCTGGAGGGCCGTATGTGGTGTCACCTGGAACACCTTTCTGACCGTCTATGCCAGGTGGACCTGGAGGGCCATTTTTACCATCAACTGTAGGTCCTCTTTCACCTTCATCACCGGGATCACCAGCTCTGCCTCGAAAGCCTGTTGATATGATTTTTAAATTCAAACAGGGCATAATTCCTAAGTTTCGAGTCGGTTTTTTTCCCCAGAACAGTGGAATCTTATAGTGTGTATTTAACCAGAATTTAATTACCGCTTTGCAAAGAAAAACATCATCACACACGAAATTTCACGTTTCTCACCTACAGCTAATGAGGACTGAAGGAGGTAACTATGCCCGTGGGAAGTGACAGTGGTTTTCTTCGGGGCAGCACCTATCTCGTGTACTGTCACTCTTGTCCAGTTCAAACCCTTCGCTAAAACAGTACTCATTATTCTCAGTTTTCTGAGAATATTTCCTCTCTGGACACTGAGCTGTAGGTCACTGCAGCACCTGCAGTGCTGGAGGAAAGACAGGGAAACTGGTAAAGATTCCAGTTCCATTAGCTTCCGTTGACACCTGCTTGCTGTTCTGTTCTACCATGGTGGCTACCTTACCCTGCCACGTACCCATTACAGCCTGACCAGCAGGTCTCCTGGATAAAGAAAAGCACAATTCACCTTCTGGCCCAGGGATTCCTGCTCCTGGCCTGCCACGATGGCCTTTCTGACCATCAAAGCCATTTGGTCCAGGACGACCAGGGAGTCCTTTTAAACCCTTTGGTCCTGGAAACAGAAAGAAAATATGTGAAAAACCTCCAACTGACAGGATTCTAAAATGTGTGATCTAAGCAAACAGTATGGCTTCTTTATCCTATGCCAATTCATGTACTTTGAAAACAAGTGGATTTCATCTTCTAACGTTTTGGGCAAGAGCCACCACCCAAGTCACAACCAAACGCACGGTTGCCGTGTTTCTAAATGGACTTGTTCCCTGATGCGTAAACAGCAGACTGCAAATCACAAGAGTAAATTAGGGGAAAAAAAGAATAAAACTCTTACAACATTTTAATGTTACAGCACATCAGCAATATTCATCTAGTGAATGACAGGTGTCAACTCAAATTCTTCTCTTCTCCTGTGCTTTGTGCTGCTCCTGGCATGGTGCAGATGAGCTCAGTATGCTAATCCCTGTTCCTTCCTGTCTATAAATTTTAGCTACCACCCACAATACTGATGTCAAGGAGCTGTGTTACGCCATGTTAAAGAGCTCGAAAATCCAGTATCTCCCTTTGTTCTGATCAGGGTTTTCTGGTGTATTTTAAATGCTTTGGAGGTGATCACAAGCAACATTTTGCCAGCTCCTAGATAGGTACTTTGAGTTTAAACTGAGTTGAACAAGTTGAAGTAATAAGTATTCAGATTTTAGGGCTCAACTGCAATTTGCCACGAGCAATATAGTTTTTGAAATTACAGACTTGCAGCATGGCTTTGCCTCACACACCCTTTTTTCCTGTATCCAGTTGTACATATTCTAGGTCTTATCCAGCTTCAGCCACCTGTGTCTTTGACAGACCCCCTCATGCATTTTAACTGGGGCAGGACAGTTTCAAGCCACCTTCCTTCAGTCGTTTCTGTGGAGGCAGCCTACCCACCTCTCGATCATGCAAACTGCAGCTGCCTAGCCATTGGTTCTATTAGATGAGGATGTTCCTACGTATTTGTACTTTTACATTTTGAGACGTATCAGTTAAAAAAATGAGAATGGTGTATGTTTTAGGACAGCTTCTTTTTTAATTAGCAACTTCAAACTCCATTTCAATTAAACCCCCAAATTCTCCCATCGGTAAACATACCTTGAACACCTTTAAAACCGGGGGGACCTGGATTTCCAGGGTGTGGTAACGTAATGCAGACAGTCTCACCTGAAGCGAGAGGGAGAAAGGAACTGGCCTGTTTGATTTCAGAATAAATGGAGTCTGAATGTTTACTGTAGTATGTCTGCGGCACTGACCAACCAGATGTGCAGATGGAAAGAGAAGGGACTGTTTACGCACAGTTATTTCCATATTACTTAAGGTTTGATCTTAAAATGTACTTTTCTTGACACTTATTTTGAATAGAATATTGGTAATGATTCAAGTTGTTTTAATATAGTTATATTCTGTAAAGACAAAGGATTTTTTTTTTTACTTATCACAGAAATTTGTCTTCAAAAATAGTCTGTTGCAAGAAAAATAATATGTTCATCGGAATTCTACGTACATTTCTAGTTCATACATATTGCTATCAGTGTAGATTTCTTGTCTATTTTGGTAGGTATTTTTGATTACCAAAAAACCAGACCAAGACTTAAGTATGAGTTGTATTTTCCTGCTCCTTCAGCAAAAAAACGTTGCAAATCATTACACTCAGGAATAATCTTCACTCCAGAAAATAACTCCTCTGGTAGTGTGCAAATGGCACTTTGCAGCTTTACGGCCCTTAGCAATCCATAGTCTGACGAGTGTGTCCTGCTAAATGCTGATGGTATTGTACCTTTCCGTGGCCATATTTCACATGACCACTGAGCTTGCCAAAACTGATGTATAATACTGTATATAATACTAATGAAACTGTAATGGATGCTACCAAACATGGATTCTGTTACTTGGTTCTTAATGTAAACATTCGGAATTACCTTTCTGGCCCTTTGGACCAGGTGGCCCAACATTACCAGTGTCACCAAAGTCTCCAGGACTACCTCTGACTCCTGGAGGGCCGGGAAACCCCAAACCAGCCACTCCCATCTGTCCTTTTACCCCACGAAGTCCTGGGACCCCAGGGAGTCCTTTGTCACCCGGCAGTGGTTCTCCAGAATCACCCTAAAGGAAAGAAATTGTTGATAAGAAATAACAAGACCTAATTAGAAGTTGTTGATAAGAAATAACAAGACCTAATTTCTTTCCCTTCTTTGATAATCAAAAGCCATGTTAGAGAACTATATGGAGAAACCGCTCTCCCACAATTAAGCAACTACCTGGATGATACCAGTCGTTTTAAATATTCAAAAGCAATAGGAACAAAGGGTAGAGTTTTGTGGGTTTTTTCCTCCCTGATCCCATAGTATTAGCACACAATATATGCAAAAATTGCATTCAGGAATACCAAAATAAACAGTAACACTTCCAAGGAAATAATTTTTCAATGGATAAAAATGATGACTTTTGATCTAGGCTAATATAAAATGATCAAAGTGATTAATCTGCTAGCAGTGTGGAACAACACGGTGCCTTTCATTACGTAGCCAGCCCTTTCGTAAGACAGTATGTTAAGTGGAATAGAAAAATATGCTGAGAAAGCCAAACATACCTCAGCTCCTTTTTCCCCAGGCAAGCCTAGCTCCCCATCTCTGCCATCGCTCCCTCTTTGGCCTGGATATCCTGGAACCCCAGTAGGACCTCTTTCACCTTTTATTCCTTAAAACAATTTTAAAAAAATTAAGTATAATATTTGCAGTAAGTTTTGAGATGTTTGATTTCTGCTCAGGTAAATGCTGGGTAACCTTTCATCATATCTGTATGATAAATTCCAGTTCTTGAATTCTTATTTCCTTAATGAGGTATTTTAGGCTTAGGAAGAGAGTATTTAGTTGGAGACCTCATGGAACAACTTGGTCTCCGTAAAAGACATGTTTACAGGCACCACAACAATGTGGCTTCTGTTCATGCTATATATTGACTGAAAACATTTTGCTACTGAAATCAGAGTTTTATTCTTGATTTCAGTGAAACCAGGATACAGCAATGCCTTATGGTGCAGAATATTTGCATCAAAATAAAAAGGTTTTTTTATCCCTAGATTTCTCTTGCACTAATATTTATGAAATTGTCATTTTTTGCATAAAGGTCGATACAACTATTATAACTCAAAGATTCATTTTGCTGCTTCAAGAAACCCTTTGCAAATAAACAGCAAGGGTTTCGCCCTGCTGCACTGTCTGCAAACAAACACAGGTATCCAAAGCTAAGCCAACTTTTCACAAACAATATGATGGACAATCTTTTGTCTGAGTAATTATTTTAGCATTTCTAACTAAGCTTTGCCATCACGTTGTTGTAGTTTGTTGTTCTATGTTTCTTTTGCTTTTGCAAATCATAACTCTGGAGAGGTTTTGATCCATTTAATTGCAAGAATTTCAGTTGTGCAACTGGTGGCCTTTTGTTTCTCTTCACTGCCTGGTCAAGAGTAATGTTCAGAAATAGGGGCAGGAATCTGAATAGCTGTCAAGACTTTTGAGTTTTTGCCAAGAAGGATGTTGGTGGTTTCAGTTGAGATAACAGCCAGGATACTGGTATATGACAGTTTAGGAGGTGGCTGCTGTACAATAATATTTCTTCATGTTTTCACAGTAATTGCATTCTGCTTAGTCTTCGCCAGTCAGACCTCGGTAAGACCCCAATTATCGATCACGTGACATGAAAAGTCATTTGTTAGCATTAATAACAAGATGTTAATACTTTTCTGGTTCAACTATTGAGTAAAAACCACAAAATCCTGTGTTGATCTTGTTTTTAGCAAGAAGAAAATGAACAAGATGGTACCAAGAAAGCCGTTTGGAGATAGATATGACCTCTAGGTTTCAGTACCTTACTTAAACTAATGACTGTATTAAAGAGTATGAATATGGGATATTCATATGGTTTTCTCATGCTATTTTGTAGGCATTGTAGAGGAAACAAAAAGGTTAATGATAAAATGTGTATTTACCTTTTATTCTAACTCTTCCTGGATCACCCTTCTCTCCTTTTTCACCATGTTGTCCAGCAGAACCAGGTGTCCCCTTACCATTGACCACAAAAAAAAGACATTAGAAAAACACTGTCAGTTATCTCCAGCAAGGAATCAATGTGGGAATTGAGGGGAAAATTAGATATCTCTCTCTTACTCTTGCAGTGTTTCTCAAAACCAGACCAATTAAAGAAACATGCTGAAAAGACACCCTTATCTCTTTCGAGGCCAATGAAGAGGTGTGGGAGTGGCAGCCCGACTGCCAAATGCACAGATACACAACTGTAAGAAACTGTAATGCTGGAACTGGGTCCGTGGCTGTACACAGCTGTGGCTGTAAATGCAAGAATATTAAGATGCAAACGATGACCAAGGGCACATTTCAGCCCACAGTCCACCGAGGTCTCACAGGAAGGGAGTCCCTGGAGCGCAGTGACTGCTGCATGAGGCTGTCCTCCCAGGTGAGCATGGCAGTAGGTAAGCGATTCTTTTTTGCTGAGTGAAGCCCAAAAAGCTGCCAATAAAAAATTTCGTCTACATCTAGATAGGTATTTGGTATTGTCAGAAGAAGCTATGACTTGACAAGTTTAGAGGGGAAAAGGAGTACTTCTCTGTAATTTCATGCCGATTTGTGCTCTCGGCTCTCCAAGCAGGGTGCAGTTCGCACATCATCACTGGTGAGGGTCTGATCTTGCACCAGTACACGTGGGTAAATCTATTTTACCATGTGAAATTTAATAGAAGTAAAGGCCATGAAGGTTGAAAAACCGGGGTATTATTTATTCAGTTTCCTCTGTTTTTTCAAAATCTTTCACTAAGAAATAGGTGGAGAAAATAAAATTTGTAAAGTGATTGTAAGTCATGACAATTGTAAAACAGGCAGGATACTTCTGAAAAATGGGGTGTATCTGAAACCAGCAGTGGATATTTATTAAAATGCCTAGATTTTCAAGTTGGCAGTGGCCAGTTATCAGTGTTTGAAAAATGAAATGAGATCTATGGGAAGAAAATAGAGCTGAAAAATGGAACAAGTGTATGTATGTAGAAAATCCATTAGACCAAAGCATTTCTGTCTCAAAGTGAATGATTCCTTTCCAAACTGATTACTTTGGCCTTGTTTCTCACTTAAGTAACCTAAGAACACCAAAGTCTTCAGCACATGGCTTCAAGTTTACTTCACAACCACAAGGGCTGAAGCAAACTTTCAAAAGTAACAAAAGAGGTCAAAATCACTCATAATCCACTCAGGTTAAAGGATTTTCATAAAAGAAAAAGAACAAATGCAAACCTTGTAATGAAACCATTGGGACTAGAAGGACAGAACCCCTCCACCTCCTTCCTTCAGTCTCAAAATCGTTTTGGTTTGTTTGGTTTTGTTTCGTTTCTTTTGAAAAACATACTTCTGGAAACTTTTAAGCAATTCCTTATATGAAAAAGAGTCCTGCTACTAAACCAAAGCAAAACCTCAAAAAAACAGAGAAACAAATCCATAATGGTACAGTCACCAAGCCAAGCATATCTACCTATATCTTTAAAGAAGTTGTTCTCACACACAGGGAAGTATATTTAAAAAAAAACCTCTATTTGGCATCATTTTGGTACACAGCATCCTGGATGTACAGTCCACATGCCAGACCAAAACAAGTGGAACAGACTCACGGCAAGGCCAATGAAGCATCTTGCAATGCATACCTGCGGCAGTTTGCTTCAGTGGTGTCTTGAGCTACTGCTCGCTGTGGGGAGTAAGATAAACTACACGAGGCACATTAAAGAACATAAGTCCGTTTGCAAAAGTAACAGCTCCTTTCACTGACTTGGGCAACAAGCACGTCCTTGTGGCGAACAAATCTCGGCTGAGTAATGACTGAATATAGAAGATTATGAAGTAATGCGGCACAGGAAAGGGATAAACACGAAGAAACTGGAGGGGACTTTTACAAGGGCCTGTAGTGACAGGACAAGGGGTAACGGGGTTAAACTGAAAGTGGGGAGGTTTAGATTGGATATCAGGAAGAAGTTCTTCCCGGAGAGGATGGGGAGGCACTGGGACAGGTTGCCCAGAGAAGCTGTGGATGCCCCATCCCTGGAAGTGTCCAAGGCCAGGCTGGATGAGGCTTGGAGCAACCTGGTCTAGTGGAAGATGTCCCTGCCCATGGCAGGGGGGTTGGAACTGGATGGGCTTTAAGGTCCCTTCCAACCCACACCATCCTGTGATTCTACAATTGTAAGAAACAGCAATGCCTTTCAGACTGTGTGGGAAGGAAAGACTACATTATGTTCAGACAGACTCATAAAATAAATTCAGCACATTGAATGCATCAAGCTTCTCAATTAATTTCTAAAAAAGGAATAAGGAAAATGACTTGAAATGTCTGAAGAAAATCAAGGGTTCCTTTCTCTTCAGACCCTGCCCCTCTCCCCCAAGGTGGATGTTGCTGAAAAGTCTATCTGGACCGGATGACACGCAATTCTTTGCCTTGATAAGGTTTTGCTGGTAATGCTTTCCTTGGAAATGACTGAAAAATCATCTTCAGTGGAGCAATTTGTGCATCTACAATGTTTACAAGAAAAACAATGGCTGTTCAAAACTACAAGTAAAAACAAATCAGAACAAAACAAGATGAACACACACCAACTTTCCTACGCCTCCTGACCACCCCACAATCACAGCATGGGCTTCTGCCCCGCGGTGTGGAACTCTGCCCACTGCAGCAAGGGAAATCGGATAGAAGCTAATAAAATGCATCCTCCAACAAGACTCTCATAAGCAGAAGTCGATAAAACTTTCAGATACTTTTCCTGAGCAGCTTCTCCACCGCTCTGCTTAAACGCCGCCTGCGTAAGTGGTAACTTGATGTTATTTATTTCCTATAGCTCATGAAAACCACTTACAGGGTGTCCTGGTGTTCCCACTGCACCAGGTAAGCCCAGATCGCCCTTTTCTCCATGTCTTCCAGGGTATCCCATTTGTCCTTTCTTTCCTTGGGTGCCTGGAGGTCCTTGCATACCTCGGGGACCAGGAGGACCAGCACTACATGAGCAGAGGCCTTGATTTCCTACGGAATGTGCCAAAATTACACTGAAACAGTTGCAAAACCAAAACACCAAAAATAACCCCACCCTTTTTCTTTTCAGTGCGAGTAGTGCACAGACCATTCAGTCTCATTATGGCCTTCAAAGGAGTGAAGCCCATCAGTCTCTTTTCACAGCGCTGGAGTAACTGCTGCCCTGACATGACTCTGCTGACTTAGCAGCCCAAGTGCCAACACTTCGATGGGCCTTGTCCTCCAAGTTGCTATACGCTTGCAAATTAGGGCTGACATGGCTGGCAAAGGTCTCATGTTCAAGAGCATACTTACCCTTTTCTCCTTTTTCACCTTTTCTTCCTGGAAGGCCTATCTGACCTTTTGCTCCAGGTTGTCCGGGGATCCCTCTGTCAGTACAGATTACACCTTTGACAAAACAAATTGTAGAGCTAGTATAAACCAGGTTGACTGTTTCCACAGCTTAGGTCACGCACTCTCCTCTCTCTTATCTTGTTATCCGCACGTGAAAAGCTAGAGATTTTACGAAATGCTGTGTAAGTCGTTGCTGATAGATCACACTACGCAGATGCATCTAGTCAGTTTGGCTAGAGTTGGTGTTGACACATGGTTTTCTCATCGCCACTGCTTCTTCCTTTTTCCACTGTAGAATTTTACAACTCTTGTTTCTTTACCAAAGGATGCTGATTTGGGGTTTTTTTTCTAGTTTGCTGCGTTTTTAACTTCCAGTGATATGTTTTCTAGGGACATTTTTCATGTATGTTACTTTCTGGGTTTAAATCACCCGGGAAACCATGAAAATCTTGACAACTCACTGACTGGCAATTTTAAGCAAAACTTCTTTTTTGCATCATGTGTAATGTGTGATGTATCTGTCAAAATGCACTTTTCACCTCTACATTTTTTGTAGGACCAACGAAAGCAAGGAATATATTAATATGCAGAATGATATTCTCGCCATAGGAATTGTTGTTGAACCTACTGGGTAGTCCAGGTAAGCCTTGTCTTCCTGGCTGCCCTGGTAGGCCTGGTGGTCCAGGAAATCCAGGTCTTCCTGGGATTGATTCACCTGTTCCAGGGAAACCAGGGTCACCATGAAAACCTTGAGGTCCTGGTGCCCCACTTATTCCCGGCAGGCCAGGCAGACCTATAAAGAAAACAATGGTACATGGCCCATAGAGCTTCACAGTGATGATTACTACAAGATGTCAAGGAGGAAATTACAGACCATTCAGAACTGTCCTGAGGAAAAGCTTCTATATAACAAAGACTTAAATCTACATCATTTGGTTTTCCAGGATTCACAGGAAAAGAGGCTCCTGCTTTAGACCTTCAACTGCTTCTTTTCCTCCTCCCTATTATTTCTTTTCCAGACATCCCAGTTATTCCTGTTCCTTATACAGGGCAAAGTCATCCTCATCACCTTTCATTATATCTTTTTTGAGATGGAGAATAGAATTTTTGAGCAGAGCACTCCAGATACAGGCATGCCATGGATTTACAGTGCATGGTAGCATTCTCCTTTGTCTTCTGTTCCTTTTATAGTAATTCCTTATGTTCTGTTTGGATTACTTTGGTACCTTTTTGGCCATTAAGAATATCTGGCTAATATTAAACTCTCTGTAGAGGTCCGATCCTTACTGTTGGTGACTTGCATCAACCAAGAACAAAGAACAGTTTTCTTTTAGCTGTTTTCTCTCCTACTGCTATATAGCCAATATTTTTTGTCTCCTACTTCTCTTACTTGTTCCATCATCTCCTGGTCTTCCTAGCAGGCCTGCAGGACCAATTGGTCCAACAGATCCCATATCACCAGCAGGACCCGGCAATCCAGGATCTCCTTGTGGACCTAGACAGAATTATAAAAACATGGGAAGTTGAACACCTTACGTAATTGACAGCTTGAATCTAAATTAAACTGCAACCAAAATTACATGTTGTGAACTACACAAAAGTAAAATAACACTAACTTCCTTTGTCTTTATGAAACATTTTAAAATGTGTGACTATTTAATTTTAAGGTGGGAGGATTTGGTTACTTTTCTACAGATTCCTACCCATTTCATGGGCAGAGTTTTAATTCTTCATCACTTAATAGCAGTATCTTTGTGCACCATGTTTCAGAATGCCTAGAGAACTGTTGGCCTAAAATACATGTAGCATTTAAAATGAATGTGCATCTCATGTTAGGCACATTTGGCAGTGCACACAAGGAGGTCATTTCAGGATCACCCTAGTGGAAATTATCCACATTTTAAAAAGTATATTTTTGAAAATTGCAATCATGAGTAAGTTTTAAAATTGCAATTACCTAGTGATAAAGAAAACCTGAATTAAATATATTTGGAAAAATAAAATATCCATAGTAATTCTGTTCTCAAACAATTCTACTAAAGGCCTCTTTCTCTGAAGAATGTATCCCTGACACACCATGCAGATGATTAAATGTTATGTGAGACATGAAACATAGCGTTGAGTCTTCTGTTGCATGGGCTGGAAACACACAGAAGCCGATGGAAAACAAGTGAATTGATTTTTGGATGAGGCCACTATCTAATGGGGAGGTTCTGCTGAGCTGGGGTTGTCTTGTCACTTACTTCTTTTTTCATGATCATAATTCTAAATATTCTAAGTTACAGTGGGAAGGCTGTTTTTCTTAACTGCCAAACATTATCCAGCATGGGCTTAGTTTTCATAGCTTTTGTTCTCATAGCTTTTTCTTAGGTCCACTAACTAGGGACAGTCCTGCAGATCTAGCTGTGACTGTAGGCATAAAGATCTTTCATGCAAACATTTAATCTGAAATTTGTACGTTTACCATAGTTCCAGTAAGATCAGTCACACACACACACACACAATGTGGCCACTGGGAAGCTAACATCTTAGGATCCTGTCTCACGAATCCCTAGGGATCACTTTCAAACATCTTAGCAAAAGAGGTCCTACACACTTTATACAGCAGGAAGACTAGTTAAAACTAGCTATTTTATAACTTTCTGTAGTTATTTTAAAGCTATTAACCTTTTATAGGAAGCAGTGGAGTTCCAATAGCTCCAGGAGGACCTGGGGGCCCTTTTTCTCCTGGATCCCCCTGTAAGAGTCCAACAACAGAATTCACTGATAGATACAAATATGCAACGTGTAACACGAAACTGAAAATTTCAGCAGTGGTGGGGTATGTAAGGATGTGACACATCACCTAGGAAATGCAATTTAGACACTTTATAGCATTTAAAACCAAGCAGAAACATTTAAAATAATCTTTACCAAGCAGAAACATTTAAAATAATAATTTTCTTTTAGGATACCAGTGACTAAACAGTAATATACCTGTCACAAATACCTATTTGACTCTTCAGGACTTGTGACTGCTGTATTTGATTTCATTCACTTATTGCAAAGACAAATCAATTACAGTAAGTCAGTGCCCAATTAATTGAGATGTTTTGATCTAACAACCAAGCTGTAATTATTTGCTTAAAATTCTGTACCAGAATTTGAAATTACTTCTATGATTATGCATTAAGAAAGGAGGTTCCACAGTCTGGCAGATATTCTGGATGGTAAGAGATACTCAAAATTCTTACAAGAAGTGTAAAACATCTGCATCAGGGAAACATAAAAGTGCCTACTAATGGCAAGGAAAATCGCTTCTCCTTGGAGGATTTCTAAATTACTTGGGATTTTGATGTTCAGAATTGCAAGTGAAGTGGACTTTAGGGAAGTCTTTTATGTGGCAAACTGTATTTTGCTTTGTAGATGAGGAATCAACCTTAATCTCTCTGCAGCAAACAAGAATGCAATGTGGGAACTGCGTAGTGAGGTTGCATTCCTGGGACCGGAGTTCAGGGCCTTTTAGGACACAGACAGGAGAACTGAGGCTGCTAAACTGGATATCCATTCTTACACAAGGGAAAACAAGGAGTCCATGCCTCTTTCTGGACTTTTTTTTTTTTTTCTTAATTGATATTTCTGTGTTGTTTAAACAGTTCTGGAGCTACCACTGACTGCTGTCTTCTTCACCTATGGCCTTTGGGCTGGCGTTTTTCCTTTGACTGTATCTTGCAGAATGAAATAACATCCCTGTTGACTGATACTGTTTTCTCTTCCCATAAAAGTTTCTGGAGACTCAACTTGCCAACGGTTTATTAAAAAAAACCCAGCCAAAAACGTGCAACAGAAGTGTGTATCTACTGTATTCTGTGACCTGGGGTACTCTTCAAATGAAGGCTTATAATGACTTCTCCGTTTTTCTGATATCCCCGTTAAGAGTTAAACACTGCGTGCTCTGTAAGTTTCTGTAGATAATGTCAATGGCCAAGAACATTCTGCGTTACTCAGAGACAAATGGTCTCAGAGTGATTTCAGCA